ATTTAATAGCCACTACATCAATGTCTATATAAACATTGTGTATTGCTAATCGAAATGGTAATCGTTTTGCTCGCCCCTCAATGTTTACATTCGCCTAGTAACTATTGAAATTTATGATGGAATAAATGAGTGTTAGATACATTATACAGGCTAAGGTCACTGGTTATTTTAAGTATAAGTTCTATAATGTCTAAAAGTCTGTCCAATTGATTCAGTACACTATTATTTTATCCCTGCCACCACACTCTTCCTCTTCCTCTCCCTCCCCTTCCTCTTTGGTAAAACAGTGACGGTCTAAGGCCTTGACTCTGGAACTGCTGCTGGGGCTGCCACCTTTGTCTGTACAGTGCCATTTGATGGTAGGCTTTCTTTTATTAGTACGCATTTTATTATTATCAAAATTGTCATCTTCAGAGTCAATATCATCATTACATTCTTGTATTCTATCAATGCATGACTCATCAATAATCCCTGCTACATAGCAAGTGCCATTAGTATCAACAGAGATTGCTATTGGACTATCTAATTGGCTATCAGAATCATCATTAGGATACAAATATGCTGATTCAAAAAAATAAAGCTCACTATTCTTTGTGTGTCATTGCTCACCAAAATCACTAAAGCTATTTAACTTCAATTTTCTAATGCTACTTGCGGCACGTAAACACTGTTAGTAATTGTACTCTCATCACCATTAACAGTCACTCGTCCTCCAAACATTATTCCTCTGTTACCGGTAGTAGTAATCTTCTCAATTATGAAAGTATTAGTTGGTGAACAACACTGTCCACTGACAGATGGAACAGTGAATTGTCCTAAAGTGAAGAGAATACAGTGATCATTTACACAATTTAATATGCTACAAAATGGCAGAATAGTGGAAATTCGCGAAAATTAATTTGGCAAACTTCCGGATACAGGTCATTCATGTATCAATACATGTTAACAATATAAAATATACTAGTAAATCAATAAACATGTCAAGAATCTTACCAGTGGACACATTATAAAGTAACTGTTCATTAGTACGAACAATACCATTCTTAAGTTGATCATATTGAAACTGAGGATGGTAAACAGTTGGTGTAGAACCAGCCCCTCCTATTATGACAAGGTATTCTGCTCCATCAAATTCCAGTGATATCATTCCAGCAAGAGATTTCTTCATCAACGACTGTTCAGCATTACTGCATGAAGTCCACTCCATCTTTATCGTATTCAGTACATTCAACGTATTGTGGTAACAAAAATCATGACCACACCATCCACCGAAATAGTAAATATTAGAATGAAAGGTGGTACAGGAGTAGTCAATTACTCCTAATGGAGGAGTACCTCTTGTTAGGTGAGAGGACCAGTCAGCAGTAGAAAGCTGGTACACATCAACTCTTGAGGTCAGTTCCCTCTTTTGAAGGGAGTCATGAACTTTAGGTAAGTCAAGCTGGCTCCCTGCCCACAGGTAGAGGGACTCCCCTATTTGAGGAGCTTTGTGACTAGCTCTCATTTTGAAACCTGTAGTAAATGAATAATGATAGAAATGAAGACAATGACTACAGAAGAATAAATAGAAAGAGAGAGCATGAAGACAGAGGAGGAGGGAAGATGGTAGGGAGAGATAAACTAACTTTTTCTAGACATCTTCTGAAACAACAACTAACCTAACATTCCAACAAATTCATTATGACTCAGACCACACCTTCTACTCAATTTTATTAGCCCCCACGTGCAGAAACGTGGTTATACAGCAGTACTGTATAGGGGTGTCCCGGTTATGCTAATTTTTTTTACCTATAATTCTATTCAGAAATTCTCAAAAATTTACCTATTATTCATTTTATTCTGCCCTATTATTCTCACTTTATTCTTTATAATCATGAGCTAACTACAATAAAAATCAAAATTAGTAAGTCTGAGAAGCCATTTAAAATATCACTATCAGCAGAGACTGCAAAATATAAGTCTCTATATCAATTTCAGAACCTGAACTTTGTTCAAAAATTGAGTTACAACTAGCTCGGGCATTAAAAAATTCAAAAATTGTGCATTTTCTGCTCTTTAATTAGAGTTTGGCTACTGATCCACCTATTAGGCCAGCATTATTCTGGAATTGAAGTGCTACCTATTATTCCCAAAATTATTCCGGAATAATCGGGACGCCCCTACAGTACTGCTCTGCATCACTCATTGATTAGAGAAAAGGAGTGATGAGGATATCAGAGAGACTATTTAGTACTCACAATGCTAATGTACTGGAATGTGGTGTATTTGTATAAGTAGTAGTGTCATTGGTACTGGATAGAGCTATTAGAGAGGAGGAAGAGGAGACAGTAAAGGAAGCATGTCATTCACTACTAGTGATGTATGACAGGATCACTTTATAATCATTGATTAGAGTGTTTGTATGTAACTGGAACTTTAAAACATCATGAACACCCACGCAATGGAAGTGTATTAATTAAGTGATTGTGGGAGTGGCTGGATATCATGGCTGGAGTTGATGATGAGGATTGTGGTGGGGATTGTGATGAACTGGATCATCTAGATGAAGCTGTTACTAAATCCAGGAGCTCCTTCAAGATTATGTTTAATAAAGGAGTTGTAGTGACATCACAGAACTCATAAATATTCATGATCTTATTTTGTATATATATTGCATGCTGTGTTATTAAAGATCAGTGTTTGGGTGTCAACACGAGGTATAGCGATCTCTCTCTCTGGGCGCAACAACCAGCCTTGCCTGTCAATAGCCAGCACTTACACATAGCATCCCATATACGAATTGCTATATTGGTGACCCGGACGGCCCTGGCGACTCATTGCTCAGGGTATACAGACAAGCAACTACTGGACGTGTGCTGTATGGAACGCCATCCTGGACAAAATTCCTCATCAATAATGTAAATATGGAAAGGTAGTGTGGCGATGCGCGAAGCGCATCGCCTCATTAATGCGTCAATTTCATAATGGATGTTTCTTATCTATGCAGCTAATCGATGTAGCTATTCAAGTGATGGTAGCTACGATTTTCTAAGACTTCACCTCATCACGTGATCCTCACCCCGCCTATAGTAGGCGTGTTAACCAGTGACAAGATTAAGATTTAGAGATGGCGATAAAGCAGAGCTACTATAGTAGCCTTGAGTGAGTGCATGTCAGTGTTCTTGGTGGAGATCAAGAGCTCATCAAATCCAAGGAGTCTTTCCAAGTCAGAAATGTGTATATTACTGTTATTGTTATCTCTGCTGTTGTCTTATTATTGATAGGACCAAACAAGGAGGATCAGATAGCCCTCAAGGAATGGCTCAGAGAGACTCGATAAAGAAAAAGGCATTGTATAACTGGTCACTCTTTTTTTAACATTAGCAATTGCATGTTTTGTTTTAATGCCTGTACTAGTGACTACAATGTTCTTAATTATTGAATGAAATTGCAATAAACAAAATATTTTTAACAGAAATCAAAATGTTAGTGGAAGCAAAGCTGAATGGGAAGGGTACAAGAGATCAGAGTCATGCACAGTCTTAGATGATACGTGTTCAAGGAAAGATGTGTTATTTTTAACAAATCAAAATGTTACTGGAATTTAAGAGATCAGTTATTTGTCATAAATGATACGATAAGTGTTATTTTTAAGAGATCAGACATTCATGCACTAATATTATGCATAATAATCACTTGTCATAAATGATAATATTCATACTTTCCCAAACCCCCCATGGTTCTTGAAACCATAAACCATCTTCTCTTTGAACTTTGAATATTCTTCATACTTAATTGGTAAAGTCAGAGACAGGGCACAAGTAGATGCAAAAGGGTACGCTATAAATTCATCAAAGTATAGCGATGGCCTTGGTGTAAAACCGAGAGGAGGTATTACGTCACTACCAGTGAAAAAGACTAATACGTCTTGTATGCTCAAGTCATTAGGGGCCACTGGAGAATCTACAAGAGAAAAAATAATTGGACACCAGCATGCAGTGAAGTCATATACCTTTACATTCATCAAGAAGGCGAATAAAATATGAATATGCCTCCTCTTGAAGCTTCCGAGTATTAGTACCCTTCTCAGCAAAATGGGCTCTCAAAAGATCTTTTAGTTTATCTTTACACAAAAGATAAATCAAAATAATTTAAAATAATTATGATAACAAACCTGCTGTTATACAATTGTCAGGATAGTACATAAAGAACGGCTTCATAATATTCTTGTTTTCTTCAATTATAGAGAGTACTCCAAGAGACCTCAGCCCCTTCTTCAACTGGTCCAACTCGGCAAGGCATTGGAGGAGAGTATGGTGCAGAGCCACAACCCTTGTGATTTCCTCCTTGTCGGCAATAGTTACATTACATATTGGCTTACTGAAGCCTGTGCTAAATAATATGTCGCAGTGATCAGAGAGTGCTTTTTGAAAAGCCAAATCATCTGTCATATCCTGTATCTAGTGAATACATGTAGCTATTAAAAAATAAAATTAATTTTCAAAGGCATACCTCTTTCAGTAAATAAAAGGCCTCTCCATTGGGCATCGACTCAATATCTATATCTATATCTCTAATCTCTTTGCCACAAATATAGTCGTACACTGATAGAGAGAAGAAAGGAAAACCACTGCCTCCGTGGGCCAAAGATGCACTCATCAACAGTCCTAACCTTTCAAACTTATTGGCCTGTAAAACAATTATAGGTAAAGTTAATAGTTCTCACACAGTGTGAACACACCTGTAAACCCGGTGTGTCATGTCTAAGTTCGTAGCAATTCTTCTTGCCCACACACATAAACAATTTCACTTCATAGGCCAATAGACGAAAAAACTCCCTTTTCACTCCCCCTCCATCAACTGCTTCCTCTCCCAAAAATTCAACCTAATATCATAATAACACTCTAAACTAAAACTGAAATCAGCTTATAACTTACTTCAAGCTGTTTAATTGGGCTAAATGATGCACTATTAATACCTGCCAAAGCTGATGCAAGCAAGTCCTCCCTCCTCACAGACAAATAAAAAACATTCGTGTCGTCGATGAAGTTTTGCAAATGAGTCACAACATCCAGCATTGATGTAAATGTTTTACTATAGTAAATAAAATAAAAACTACTCTTGCTTTTATTAAGGGATTAACATAACTTACACATAAGATTCATTGGCATCTACTTCTTGAGAAGCGGGCGGAGAGTGTATCGGAGAAAATGAGGGAGTAGATGATGCTGACGATGAAGGCTCCAGTGGCAATGTTAACTCCGACCTTCAAAAATAAAAAATATCCATTAAAACCTAAATATGGTGTCCAACTTAACATACTCTTGTCCACACTGGTCTAGGTGACTTCTCAACAAGTCCAAAGGGAACTCATTGTTGCACCTGAGACACACTTGCATTAGCTACATGTACATGTACACGCAGGAGAATAAACAGAATAAATTATCAAAACAAACCTCTGATACATTCACATCATTCCTTGGTTCCATCATCTCGATATCAATATTTTCCTGAATAGGACGTATGTACACTTTTGCTGCACCCATATAACTACGTAGCAACCTGGGAGAGTGGCAAACTGGCGATTTGATTAATTCCAATTGTCTTGTTTGGGGTATACACCTCATTAGCTCAAATCCACCACAAAATTCAAGTTTAGGAAAACTTTCTATCAACTTCACATGAAATTCAGCAGTGCTGCAATCGACATTAGTGATCTGGATCTTCTTTTCTCCTAACCCTGCTAGTATAAGACACTCTCGAGCAGCTCTATTTGTCGGAACTCTATCGTCATTTGTACCTGCCAGGCAAAAGAAAGCGTGGGTCCAACTTGGTAGCTTTGCTCTTTTGGGGCGGTAATCTGGGACATCGTATGCAGGCATCTTACGCTTCATTTCTGTTGCTGTGTTTCCGGCGACTCCACGAATAGAAGAGACGACTCGTCTGTAGGAAGACTCAAAATTATTCCATCTTCCTGTACAAAAACAAGAATTAAATGGTAAAAAATCAGCTAAGACAATTTTGACTACATTAGCAACGCTAGCAATATCCTACTGAGGCTCCCTAACCTGTGTTTACATTACCCACCCATGCATAATGATAATTATTCTTAATTTTACCACCAGAAAACCACACCCCCAAATGCTTGTAATTAAGGTTACCTCCCTATTCTGGCACAGCAAATAATATTGGTAAAATGGTAAACACATGTAATTAGTAACAAAGGGAAAGAACAGTCACAGCTACTGAAAGTGCCCGCACACACAAGCCACCCCTTTACATTACATATATAATAATACACACACACACACGCACACACCTGTGCCTGAGCGAGAAGAACAAGGCTGAGGCTGAGCTGAGCGAGAAGAACAAGACTGTGGCTGAGCTGAGCGAGAAGAACAAGACTGTGGCTGAGCTGAGCGAGAAGAACAAGACTGTGGCTGGGATGATTGATACGGTGCCGCGGGTTCAAGAGCCCGTAGCGGTTCTCTTATCGGTGGGGGCAACGGAGGCGGGCTGGGCGAAGGAGTAGAATCGAACGCGAGTTCGTCCCTTGAGATGACACCAGCTCCTTCTGAATTCTTAAACTGAAGCAATATGTTGATGGCTTCTTCGAGCTTCTTAGACGCCATTTCACCATAAATATTATACCCAGGGCCGGCCGGTAAGATGAAGGACGCCTGCTTCCACCACCTGAATAGAGGCAGCAGTGCCTGCTTCCAGTATGGACTATGGACAGGACAGGTGAAGGGACTTCAAGGGAGCCTAGGCCTTCCTAGACAACGCGTGGCAGTACGTGTGGCTTGTGCACGTGAAGATCTTGACTTACTGCGCATGCGCAAAATAATAGGAGGAGCCTGGAGCCCTGGACATACATGTAATATGGAAAAATCCAAAAATTAATGATTCAAAAAATTAATAATGATTCGTTTTAAATGTCACAATTTTGGCACAGTGCAATAAATTCCTTGAGTAGCACATAGAACCCGACCCCCATATCATCACAGTCATCAAGCGGATCAACAAGGTTCTTTAAAACGGCTAACTCATGAGGTTGAAGAGGATTTCTGGTACATGGAACTGATACACCACATTCTTCATCTTTGTTTAACACTGCAGGGCCACACCAATCAATTCCATACTCCTGTAATTCATCCTATGTACAATAGTAACAACATTGAACATTAATAACATTGAATTGTATAAACATTACTTCACTCATGGCTTCAAGTAGTCCTGACACTGCATGACCGTCCCTTGAACCTTGTAGCATTCCACGTACCCACAGCTGGACTGGTGATCTGTTTCCTTCCGTACGAAGCCTATGGCGACTGTAAGCTTGACGAAATAAATTCAACTGAGCATTGATTCGAGGTAGATAAACGTAGTGTAAGCAGAATAAATCAATATCGTCATCCGGTGAAAGGACCCCACTCTCCTCAAGGTATAGAAAA